CTTGAACTCGTCGCGCGTCTGCAGGATGTTGTCCTTGCGAATATTCGCATCGACGATAGGTGTGTACGGCTGCTTGCGTTCCGTGCGCAGGGACCGCTTGACTTTTGGGATCGGCGCGTTTGAGCCAGATGGCTCTTGGTCGAAGCGGTGCACGATTTTGCCCAGGTGCGGCGTGAAGTCGGGCGTCCGCTTGGAGATGCGTGGCTTTTTGGCGCTCTTCTTGCCTTTTTTGTCGGCTGCTTCGACGTTGTCCATGATCTTAGAGATGACCGTGAGCTCCTTCTGCTTCTGCGCGGCGAGAGCGGTGTTACGCTCTTGAGAGCGGCTACGGCTGTGCAGCTGCTGCGGCGGTTTGAGGTGACCAGATGGTCCAGTTGCAGAATCAGCTCGGCTGTGGTGACCGGTGTTGCGTCCATATGGACTTTGCTGACGACTGCGTTCACCACGCTTGTGACGGTCACGTTGTTCTTGACGCGAGACCCCATCGGAGCTACGCTCCGAGCTGGCGTGAGAGCTGGCGCGGCCACGCTTATGTGGCGGATGGTCATCGCTCGATTTGCGGGTAGGACCAGATGGCCCTTTCGATGAAGCTTGGCTGGTGGAATCAGATGATTCCGTCTGATCCGGTTGACTGGTGGGATCATATGATCCCTTCGGCTTGGGCTTGTAGTGCTCTGCGTTGCGTCCGGGTGCCACATAGGATGACACTAAGCCGCCGCGCTTGACCACCGGTGCGACGTCCCAATCTTCTGGCTCTTCCGGGTTGAGCGGGTGACTGCCCAACTCATAGTGCGGGAATGCCGTCGCCTTAGCATAGTTCTTCGCGCTAAGGTTTTTCTCGCGAAGACGTGCTGCAGCTTCCTCCTTGAGATCGCGCACCGGACGTGCATCCTTGATTTTCGGGATGCGAAACACAGATGTGTTTTTCGGCGTGCCGGTAGGCTCAGATGAGCCTTTCGGAGGAGGCTGAGTGCTGCGCGGAGGGTTGTCAGCGGGTTCGCCCGGAGGAGTTTTGGGACCAGATGGCCCCTTGTCCGTTTTTGGCTTCTTCTTGTCGCGGCTCGGAGTGTGGTCGGGGCGCTTCGGCTGAGCAGTTTTTGGACCAGATGGTACTTTGTCCTGCTGCTTGCTGCTGCTCGGAGTGCGCTTCTCCTTCTTCTTCTTTCCGGTGCCCTTGTCGTCGTCGGCGGCGCTGCGGCGCGGTGGTGGCTGCGACAGTGTCGGCACGCGGACGGCTTCTCCAATCGTTTCGCCAGCGGTGTTCTGCGGCGGCGGCGATTGATCCGCGTTGTTTGCGGCAGAATCCTTCTGCTGCGCGTTGTCAGACATCGTTGTCACACGAGATTCGCTGGGGTTTTCTAAAGAAGAAAAATGAGCGGTGAAAATGCATACATTTTCATGCGAATGTTGTCCATATGGACAGGGAGTGACACGCGACAAATGAGCAGCATCGTTGGGCGTGGTGGAAGATGCCCGCGGTGGTGGTCCGATTGGGTACAGGTGAGCAAGGGCCCTTCGGGTTTCATGACCGGTCCCGGAAAGGCGAATGCGGGCGGTGCGAATGATACCGTCCGAATCGGGAATGAGCCCGAGAATGCGTGCAAGTCGCCACTGGGAGCGAGGGGTGTTGTCCTCGTAAACAAGGACAATATTGTCCACTTGCGGCGCCCGAGCTTCACCAGATGGTGCTTTTCCGAATTCCCGACGCAATTCCAGGAGGTAAGAGTCACGCCAGAGCTGCCAAAATAGATCGATAAGGCGGCTTGCTTTTTCGAGGTCTTTGACCAGGCGGCGTTGAAGCCTATCACTACCAGATGGTAGCTCATAGTCTGGATCCTCAGGCGACTCTTTGGCGTAGACCGGGTCTAGAAATTCCCGAGGTAGAAGGCCCTGCATTTGCGGGATGATGAAGTCGATGGGGCGAAGCAATATTGCTTCTCTCTCAGAGTTGTGGGTGTAGGATAGAGGCCTACAGTTGACGGTCCATTCCGCTTGATGAAGCAGAGTTTGGAAGGTGTCCACGGTCGGTCGGGTCCGGCCCAAAGTCTTAGTAAGGCAGTTTTTGACTAGCCCCACCATTCTTTCAAAGGATCCCCCCCGCCAGGCTGCGCGATCAGTTATGGTGGACCAAATCACGTCATGACAAGCAAAAAATTCCGCCAAATCCGCGCAGGGGTCTGGCGATCCCTCAGCTGCCATCAATGCTTGCAAAAACTTAGGCTCAGATGAGCCATTTTGCGAAGACCATATGGTCGGATTGCAAGCGAAGACGGCTGCGGAGGTCACCTTAGTCGACCGGCTGCGGGACAACACTGAATCAGCGTTGGGGAATGTGCTTTTTTGCTGCGCTGGCGAGGCGTCCCCTGGACTTTGAGCCGTGTGCGCTGATCTGAGAGTGCGCTGCCTCCTCGTGCGGGCCGTTAGATAACGGGCGAGAGGCACTTGGTCGAACGGCGCTGGCGACTGAATGAGCGCTGCGAGGTCGGAGAGCGCCATATGGCGCGACGGGTCTGCTGGCCCCTTGGCCGTTGTGCGGCGGCCGTGAGCTGACCCCTTCGATTGCGCCGGCTGTTGATCGGCGGGCAGCGAAGCGTCCGTTGCAGGCCGCGGAATGTTGGTCCCTCGCGGAATGCGGGTCGGTCCCTCGATCGGCGTCCGTGGAATGTGTGACGATGGGGAAATATTTCCCGGCGCCGATGCGTCTGCTGGCGCTTTGAATTTTTTACACCGCATATGCGGTCGTCCGATGTTTGGGTTGGGAGCGTCCTTATCGTTCAAATCTGACGGCGGCGCTTGCGTTTTTTGCAACCGTCTGGGGCGAAGCGTCCTCATATGAGGTTTTTCAGCCGGGGTACGGTAGGCACGGTGCTGGGCGCGAATGGTCTCCACGACCTGACGAGCAGCAAGTAGCTGACTCCCATTATCCGTCAGGATATGGGTAGGCCAACCGCGGCGCGCTGTAAAACGCTTGAAAGCGTTGAAGAATTGGTCGGTGGAAAGATCCGACATGAGCTCGCAATGCACGGCACGAACACACAGGCACGTTACCAAAAGCACATAGTACTTTTTCGTGGCCATATGGCCGTTGTGATCAGATGATCGAAGCAAAAATGGCCCGCAGAAGTCGGCTCCAATTTTTGCAAACGGCCTAGAGGGATTAACTCTGGCCGACGGTAACGGAGGCCATTGCGGAACGGCGAAATGCGGCTCATTTGCGCGGCGACAATTAGGGCAATTGTCGCGCACAATCCCGGCGACGGTGCGGCGGCCATGCGTGAACCAAAAACGCATGCGGACATTAGATAATGTCGTAGCGACGCCGGAATGAGCGTTGAGCTTGTGGTACTGCATGACGAGCAGCTTGCAAATGACGCTTTTGCGCGGCACGTAGTAGGGCGTCTGGGTCGTGGCACTCAATATTGAGTTATCCAAGCGCCCTTTAACGTAGAAAATGCCGTTCATATGAACGAGGTGCAGTTTCTCGCGAACGTCTTTCGGCGGCGGGAAAGCTAATTGGGCTTGCCATATGGCAATAGCTTCCGCAAGGCGTAGGTCGGGCAGCGTCAAAATTCGGTCGTTGCAGGCACATATGTGCTCTCCTGATTTAACTGCTGGGTATGACCTAGATAGGTCTCGCATGAAGTGGTGTTGACCTGCGCCGATGGAGACGGCGTGCGAACATTTCTTGCGAAAATGCCGCGTTAGGTTAATGCCGAGGGGACCGGTGGAGTGGTCCTTATTTGTTTTCCGGCAGCGCAAAAATGCGGCGGCGGCGCGTAGAACGTAGGCGTAAATGTTGCGCACTTGCGTCCACGTGCGGCCCTTCTTGCGCAGCCATTCTTCGCCCAATATTGGGCTACTAGGATCGGGTGGTTCCGGCGGAATAGTGCAGACCGCGACGGCGCTTAGGTAGCTTTTTACCGCCGGTAATTTGACGGTGAAAGCGTCCCTTTCCTGCGCATTGGCGATGATGTGACATATGTCACTGCGCGCTGAGTTGCGACGGAGCGGCATGGTAGCCTGGAGCAGCATCTCTCTCACGTGCGACGTTGTGGAAAAACTCGTAGATTGTCCATATGGACTTGAGTTAGGCTGTGAACCAGATGGTTCTTGAGCGCTGCGCACGAAAGAAGGTGATGATGAGCCCCCGTTTAGTGAAGCCAGATGGCTTCGGGGCGTTTGACGAAAAAAGACTGCTCGTCAGTGTCCCGGCTACTGCCTTGCTCGACGATAAGTGACTCAGATGAGTCCTGCGCAGGTGTGGGCTCCAACAGTGCGTTAGGCTGCGGCGGCCAGTCTGATTCCGGGCGTCGCAGGAATGGAATTCCCTTCCACCAAAGTTCGCAGGTGTGGAGTTCGGCAGCTGGAATCCCGCGGGAAATAATGTCGCCCGGATTTTCGCTCGTGTGAACGTAGCGAGTGTCGAAGACCAGCTGGTCTTGAAGCTTCCGGATTTCCTCAAGGCGGTTCTGCACGAATTTCTCCTTCGACTTCTCCCGATTGCGGAGCTGCTGCAGCACAATCATCGAATCGGACCATATGGTCGCTCGAGTGATCGTTTTGTTGAAGAGTTCCTTTTTTAGGAAGATGGCGTTGCGCGCACCGAGGGCCATGGCCATGAGTTCCATACGTGGAATGGTCATTTTTTCGTCGGCGCTGAGCGGCTTTACCTTGCAGCGGCTGAAGGCGAGGGAAACGTCGAATTTTGTCCCTGCGTCGTCGAGTGGCACGCGAATGTAGGATGCGAACCCATAAGCGTCCTGGCTGGCGTCTACACATATGTGTAATTCGAGACTGGAAATCGGTGCGGCACATATGTGCCTAGGGATTTCGTAGATGGTCTTCTCGAAGTCCTTGGTGGCGTAAGACCAGATGGCCTCAATGTCTGCGCCGACGTAGTCGTCCCATTTAAGCGGAAGCTTGCATGCTTCCTGCACCGCAAGCTTTGCAGCTATGAGCGCTGGCCCAGTGAGGCTGAGCGGGTCGAAGATGCGCATAAGTTAACGCATCATCTTGCGCTTTGTCAAGCGCCCGTCGTCCTTTTTCGGGCCTTTGCACTTGCGGCCGGATGTCTTGTCCGGTTTGGGCACGTAGGAAACGCGCCACTTGTCCGTCGCGACGTGCCAGTTGTAGCCGAGGTTCATGAGGTGGTCCAGGTCCGCGAGGTCTTCTGGCGGCATCCGCGCGTTGAACTCCTTGCAGTTGCTGGCGAACTGACGGACGTTCATTTTCGCAGATGCGAATAGCTCCTTAGTGCCGCGATACTTCTCGAGAGCTTCTTCCAAGGAGTCAGCTGACAAGATAATATTATCTACGTAGCAATTTCTCCAGATTTCCTCTGCGAGTGGGCCTTGGTGTTCCAGATGGAACTCGATCACCGCTCCGAGAAGGAACGGAGACGGTTTTAGGCCAAAAGTCACGCGTCGGAAGCGGTAGAAGATCAAGTTGTCGTCATCGGGCGGCTTTGTAGGGTCTTTCAACCACATAAAAGCACACGCCGAGCGGTCGTTGGGATGCAACGACACTTGAAGAAATGCCTTCGCGATGTCAGCGATGACGACGATGCCGTTCATGCGGGTGCGCAGCAGGATTCCGGCCATCGTAGGTAGAAGAACTGGCCCTCGATGGAGGAAGTCGTTGATGGCAGGCATGCCGGGCAGGTGAGCGCTACCGTCAAAAACGGAGCGGACCTTTGTGGTCGCCGAAGTTTCCTTGATGACCGGGTGATGGGCCATGAGGTGAAGGCACGCAATATTGCGATCCTTCGGGTTGAACCTCTCGATGACCTCGTCACGTTCCATTTCCGAGAATCCCGCGCCGTATTGCAGCAGGAATTCTGGCGTGTGCGCCCGCTGGAGAGAAGCAAGACGTCCTCGCGCGAGACCCATATGGGTCGGGAGCTCTTGATTCGAAGGTGGCTCGCCGTTTTCGGTCTTCCATGGAAGGCGTACTTGGTAGCGGCCGCCGTCTTCTTCGCATATGCGAATTTTGCCCTTGATGCGCTTGTGGACGAGATCGTCTTCCTTCCGCGGGTCATTCTTCTCGATTCCGATGTTCTCCGTTTTCCAGAAGTTTTGAGCCATTTCGTGGAGTGACTCTTCTTCTGTCGGATGCGCGAAGAACACGGAGAGGCGCTCTGATTCAGCTGGTACTCCAATATTGGAGTTTCTGTCGGGTGGATCAGATGATCCAAAGCCGTGCGTCTCATATGAGACATGGTCGGTAGCAGCGGTGGCATCGTCAGACCCGTGATAAATACGGGCGTTTTCGAAGAGGCCGGCTTGCGACGCATTCCCGGTCGTAGTCTCGTGAAAAAACCGAACCGACTTGAGTGCGGTGGCGGCTTTCGTCGTAGCCTCAGGGGCAGTCGTGTGAGACTCGATGTGGGTTGCCGTCGCGTTTTGCTCAGATGAGCTAAGGCTGCTGCTAGGTGGACTGGTAGAATCAGATGATTCTTTCGCGGTACAGGTGAGATCAGATGATCTCTTCTTGAGTCGGCCAGAACCCGCGATAATGGTACCGATAGTGGACCGCACAATGCAGAAACCACTAGGTAACGGCGGGTAAACTGTTTCCTTGCGGAAAAGATGTTGTTCGTGAACCCCAATAAGGATATCGGGGGTCACATGCTGTGGAACCAGCTCAAAACGGTTCCTTTTCAGGAGTGCCTCATCTGAGGGCTTGATGAACGCCGCTTCTAGCGTCGGTACCAGTTTCTGCGACGCCTTCACGTTGAGCACGAGGCTACTGCCATCGAGCTGATCGAAACCCAGATGGGTATGGAAGGTGTCGAGCCTGGTCGGCTTGTCCTGCGCGAAGGTGTCCATTCGAAGGCGTTGGTCGCCGAAGTTGGGCAACTCGAGCTCGCGAGCTACCTCTGTGCTGACGAACGTCGCGCTGGAGCCGGAGTCGAACATGAAGGAGACCCTCTTCCTTCGCTTTGTCGTAGGGTTGAAGACGGTAGCCATGCCACACTCGAGGAAGGTGCCATGGGTCCGCTTCTCGGAGGTGTGAGCGACGCCGACAGCTGCGTATCCGCTGTGAAAGCTGGAGGGGTCGAACGGCTCGAGCTCATCCTCGCCGGGTTCGGTTGGCGCGTCACTATCATGAGTGACTACCGAGAATTGGCCATCGTCATCCTGTCTGGGATGGGCCCCCTGCCCATAGCTGTGGGACAGGTGCGCAGGCTCGTAAGCGTACGAATCTGCGACTTGGGGTGAGCCAGATGGCTGCTGCGGAGTCGACGGCGTTCCAGTGTAGCCGGAGTCCTTGCTGCTCGGCGCCGCCGTTCTGTCTGGAGCGGAAGCTTCCTCGATGCCTGCAGCTGCAGCAGCGTGAATCTGTGCTCGTCCTGGCTGGGACTGCCTCTGATGAGGCCCGTAACTCGTGGGATGGAGCGCCGTGCCCCCTGGCGCCACAGGGACGCCTCCACCCTGCTGTCCACGGTACGGTCGGCGTCCGTTCTTTGGGTTCTGGCTGGAACCGGCACCGCTCTGGTTGCGGTTGGACGGCCTTTGATTGCGGCCCTGCTGTCGACTTCCTCCTGCGCGTCGCTTCTCGAGGAAGGTGCTGCAAAGTGCCTTGTGGTGAAAGGCTTTTCCGCAGGAGGTGCAGAGTCCGTTGTTCGTTGCTTTGCAGGCTTTGGCGTTCATCCTCCAGTGGTCCCTTTGGAGGCAGACGAAGCAGAAATCGAGCTCCTTTGCGCGAGCGTATCGCGAGCTGACGGTCGGGTAAGTTGGGCAATCCGTGGGCCAGTGCACGCCCTTGACGCCGCAGAATGGGCACGATCGGGTCTTTGGACCCTCCGTGACAGCACCGACAAATGTGCCGCCGGTCCGCTCATATGAGCTGCCTTCGATGGCATGAAGGCGACTGTTCTTGGACTTCGAGCCATATGGCTGCTGTTGGCCTCCATCGTAGAGCGCTGTCCGTTTCATGACGTTGAGCGCGCGTTGAAGCTCCTCGAGCACTTGGCTGATAGTCCAAGGCGAGTCGTCTCCTTGATCCGCCTTCCTTGTGTTGAGCGTGTGCCGAACGCTGTAAGGCAATTTTGCCATGACGATGTCGGAGCACCAGTCGTTGTCCGTGATGTCCTCTCCCGCCTGGTAAAAATTGCCACAGATGTGGACTAGCTCTTGGTGGAACCGCAAGAGGTCGGCGTACCCGGCATTTGGAGAGCGCATGCCTTGCAGGTCCTGGCGGAGAGTGTACCTTGCTTTCTGCTCGTCGAAGTAGTGAGCTTCCAGCTGCTGCGTAGCGAACTGGTAGCCCAGATCGTTGATGGGGTAACGATCGACGAGGTCGAGCGGAGCGCCTTTAAGGCACTGCTTGAGGTACAGGAGCCTTTCGGAGTCCTGCATGACGCGTCCCGGAGCATGGACGAGACGAATGAAGGCGTCCCTCCAATTGGGGTAGATCCGGATGTCCCCTGCGAATGGCGTGTCGGTTATGCCCTTGAAGTTGAGCGGTGGCGGCGCAGGATACTTGTCGGTACCAGATGGTACGCATTCCGATGGGCGAATGGGCAGCTTGACGCAGGAATTTTGGTAGAACGGATTGCTGTTGTAGACCGAAAAATCGGCACCCGTTTTGACCGCGTTGTTGTAGAGCTTTTTGGCGTCCGACGGGTTGCTGCGGCGTGTCCCGTCAGCATTAAACAGAAGTGGTGAGCCGCTAGAGGTCAGGAGGTGACGTCTTTTTAGTGGCACGGCGTTGGAAAGTCGTCCGGAACATTCCGAGAACGCTGGCAGGACTGCCGGGATTGACCACAGTGGGTTCAGATGAACCATGTGCCGCTCGCGTTGACGAATCACCGAACTCATCTGAGTTTTTGTCGGTTTGTCGATTTTGCTCAGATGAGCGTGCTTGCGACTGCTTGGTCTCTGACCGTTTCGAGTGGGTCTCGGCGGTAGGCTGCTGCGGACCGGTGGTTCCAGATGAAACCTTCGCAGAACGTGACCAGGTAGCTCCATATGGAACCTTCGAAGTGCTTTGCGAACGGGTAGCTCCAGATGGAGCCGTCTGCGGCGGATCATCGTCGCCCGTGTACTCACTGTCCGAATCCATGTCAAAGTTCACATGTTTGTCGGGTAGTGAGAGCCCGAGCTGGCGGTGGTTGGCGGCGGCTTGCTTGAGCATCCCCTTCAGTTCGTCAATGCGCTTCTTGGCTCCCTTGATGCTCTCGGTGACGTTATGCTCCTGCACGAACTTGCTGAATTCCGCCGTGAATTGAACCCGAATGCGGCCTTTCTTCGGCAGCGCGTATACCATCTGGTGATAGGCGTGCTGTGCGCCGTGCATGTCTTCGATGAGCTTGGTCAGCTGATCAATTTCATGCTCGAGGTCGTCGCCAAGTTGGCGGAGGCGCACGAGCTCTTGCTTCGGGTTGGCATTCCGGTCCGGTTCAGGGTCGTGGGAAATCTTCATGATCTCCTCGTAGTGGCTGACCAGATGGTCAAGGCTGACTTGGAAAGCAGATGCTTCCACGTCGGCGTCGGCTCTCTCTTGCTCGAGATCGATGGGCTGCGGCATGGTGAATGTACCGTCTGTCTGGATGGTACCGTCTTCGTTCTGCTCGAAGCCGTCGCCGGTGTTCGGCGGTTGACCGTCGAGGGCTGCCATGGTAGGAGCTGGAGGAGAGTGGTGAGGTCCGCTAGCTGGCGGAGCTGCTGACGTTTTGCTGGTGCTGTCGCAGGTATGCGCGCGTTGCGACGGCGAAGGTAGCGTCCGAAGGTTTGCAGCACGGCCGTACTGCTTTCCGCTGCGAAGAATGGTGACGGCTGGGTTGACGGTACGACGAGGCGTAGTTCCCCAGATGTCGAAAACAGAAGTGATCAGGTTCTGTTAACGGCAGACGTTCGGCTCAGGAATCCTCAGATGAGGATATCGATGGTGTCTAGTGGTTTTTCCCCCTTCGGGTGCGAACAGTCGTCTCCTAGTTCTTCTCAGCTACGACGCTTCTTAGGACGGCTAGTCCGCGGTGCACAGCAGCGAATAACGTAGTAGATTTTACCTCAAACTTGGGTAATAAAACCATGATCAAAATACGTGCACGAAGCGTCCAAGGTGGTCTGAAACCGAATATTCGGTAGCGACCCCAAAATGCCCCGCGGCAACGAACTGATCGGGCTAGTCCAGACGGACAAGGCGCCCTCTCAGTAAATGGAATGCACGAACAAATTGCGGCGCCTTAAGGGCACCGCTAATTAGCATAAGTGAAAACGGGCCGGGAAAGGAAAGGTTCATATGAACCCAGGTTAGCCAAAGTGTGCACCAGATGGTGCAAAGAGAAGGGGCGAAAGTAGGCCCAGACTACCGTGCTCCGCAGCGCGGGAGAGTCGCCGTCCGCCGCCGCCGATCCGCGTCGAAATGGCGAGGTGGCGATGGACTTCCACCGCAAAGCACCGCCGCAAGGGGCGGGTGCAGGCCAGTTTGAACGGCCTCGACGCGAAGAGAAGCGCGCCCAAACGGGCAGCCGACGGCGGGGGTTTTGAACGACGAACGCACGCTCTCGCAAGCGATTGCGTTTGCGACACATTGAGCTAAAGTTCTGGACTGTGCCATCATTGCTCCCGGTGATGTATTGTGATTCATAACAGTAAATCAATAACAAGCTACTTATCCTTGGAGCAAGCAGCTGTCTGGGACATGCTGGTTGTGAGGCCACCAACCGCCCTGCGGCGCAAAACAGTTACACGGGCTCTCGCATACGCGGTTGTTCGCCCAGCAGTTCCTTCGGACGCATTGTTGCACCCGCTGACGCACCTCCTCGTCGTTCGAATGACCTAAGGTCAAATAGCAACATGTAAACGCAAGCAAACAACCTACGACAACATCCGTTGACGCAGCCGCACTGGGGTCCACAGCGGTCCGCCTTATTACCCATCAGCGCCCAGCGCAGCGAAGAGCGCTTCACACATTAACCCTTGCACCGGCCTTTCGGTGGAGGTGGGCGCCGTCCAGCATCGACATCGTGAAGAACCAGCGCTAAATAATGATGCTTGCTAAATCACTTTTAATGGTGCCCCTTTAATTCCTGAAAAGCGCATTTGATTTGAATTGGTCATAAAGGAACTGCACTAGAGGAATCTGGTACGGACGCGAGCCATGTACTTTTGCTGGAAACCCCATAAGACAGACCACCGCATAGATTTTTTTAAAAGAATTTCGCATTGCGTAGCGGGAACGGCCTAGCCCCACGAGCATTAAGTGATCTCTGACTTATGCTTACCGGCGCAGAAGAGTAGCAAAGCGACATGGGACAAGGCTTGCATTCTGGCCGACGGTTGCGTACCGAATGAAACGTTCCTTCAGCTTTAAGAACTTTTATGACAATGGAAATGTGCGCCCCAGCCCGTCAAAGCTTCAGATTCGCCCTTATTGTTTGCGGGACGACATCAATCAAGCAATGCTAATGGATTTTTAAATCCTAGCCGGCTAGACAATAACAACGTAAGCTGAGACCGAATTGATTTTGTTCGGTATCGTTTCGTTTTGAAATTGCAATCTCGATATCTGGTCCTAAACAAGTACATCTCGGGCTTGTACAAAAGTCTGCATAAAATAACTGAACGCACAAAACATGGAATACCGAAACGATGGATGAATACGGCATCCTACCTATTAAAGCGGGAGGGTGTTTTAGTGTCGACGCGGCACCAGGGACATTTTTGCGGCAAATTTTTATTACTGTAATTTGCAGCGCTGCAACATCAACAATTGTGCCACCGGTGGCAATTAGGTCAGATCAAAAGTGTTTGGTGGCAAGAAAGGTGGCAGGTGGCACACTATGTGGCTGGGAGTACAACTGTGTGGCATGTGGCACACTATGTGGCACGGTGGCTTAGTAATTTAGAGGTAAAGTGTGCCACATTTGAAGTTGACGTGCCACCGGTGGCATATGCTAATGTACAAAAATGCTCGGTGGCGACCTATGATCGGTGGCAGGTGGCACACTAGGTGGCTGGGAGTATAACTGTGTGGCATTTGGCACGCTATGTGGCACAGTTGCTTAGTTATTTGGACCTAAAGTTTGCCACATTTCAAGTTGACGTGCCGCCGGTGGCAAATTGCTAATTGACCAAGTGCTCAGTGGCAACATATGAGCGGTGGCAGGTGGCACACTAGGTGGCTGGGAGTATAACTGTGTGGCAGGTGGAATACTATGTGGCCCGGTGGCTGTGCTATTTCGAACTAAAGTTTGCCACATTTGATTGTTTGCTTTCATACCTGCCACATAACGTGGTTGTGGCAGACTACAATAGATGCCACCGGCGGCATGATAATAATGTTCAGTGTATTCGGTGGCAACTAGTGAGCGGTTGCAGATGGCACACTGCGTAGCATAGAGCAGAACTATGTGAAACTTGGTATGATATGTGGCACTGTGGCCTTGTTATTTCGAGCAGAAGCATGCCTTATTTTGGACAGATACAAAATGGACAAATTAGCGAAAATGGACAAAATCACAAAATTGTTCATTTGATTTAAACCTTGCAGCATTGACCGGGATGCAAGTGGGAGCATCACCTAAATTTTGGAGACGATGTGTCCAGAACAAAATGTACAAATCAGCGTTAATGGACAAAATGGACATAATCACAATGTTGCCCATTTGATTTGAAACTTCGCAGCAATGGCATATGCCACAGGAGCTAATTGTGAGACGTAGGCCACAGGAGCAAAAAGTGAGACGTGGGCCACAGGAGCTAACTGTGAGACGTGGGCCTCAGGAGCAAAAAGTGAGACGTGGGCCACAGGAGCTAAAGATGAGACCTGTGCCATAGGAGCTAAGAGTGAGGCCTGTGCCACAGGAGCTAAGAGATGAGACCTGTGCCATAGGAGCTAAGAGTGAGGCCTGTGCCACAGGAGCTAAGAGATGAGACCTGTGCCATAGGAGCTAAGAGTGAGGCCTGTGCCACAGGAACTAAGAGATGAGACCCGTGCCATAGGAGCTAAGAGTGAGGCCTGTGCCACAGGAGCTAAAAGGTTCAACCGGTGCCACAGGAGCTAAACGTTCAGACGTGAGCCACAGGGATTAAAAGTGAGACGTGGGCCACAGGACGTAAAAGTGAGTCATGTGTCACAGAAGCTAAAATTGAGACCTATGCCACAGGAGCTAAGAGATGAGACGTGTCAGAGGGATGAGCATAGATACGCTTTGGGTGGCACTGGTGAAAAACTAAGCGGTGGGAACGGCAGAATTTACTGCGAACCGTTAGGAAAAGCGGCTAATTTTTGGTCCAGGGGCCTAATTCGCAATGGATCGGTGTCTGTTAGGTGGGGTGGTCTATCAGAGGAGGAAGTTATTTCGGGATTGAAATTTTCGGGTTGAAGGTCCGAAAATTTTAGGAGCGGTTCAACCTTCCCGGCGGAGCGTGTTCAACTTTTTCGGCGGAGCGGTTCAACCTTTTCGGTGGCCCCTAGGTGGGGGGGGAGGTCTATTAGGTGGGGGGTCTAATAGGAGAGGGAACTCATTAGAGAAAATAGGGTACAGTCCAGGGATGTATCGGGCCTTGGATTGCCGATACTCTCGGTGTAGGAAATCTTTCGAAAATGTCCGGAACGGATAAACTGTACAAAATGCTGCTTCACGTTTGTCCGAGGCGAGGGGACAATCAACGGTTACGGGAATATGATGCCAACAATCCTTCGAACCGCTTGGTACGCGTCATGCACACAAATGCATGTGAACCCAAAGCATGTGTCGTGAGTTTTTCTGGCGGGGAAGTATAAGCTTTGCTTTAAGTCCGTCGGATCCTATGTCCGCACGGAAACCTTTTAAGTTTAGGTCCGCTAGGTGCTTACTGTCCTAGGGAAACGT